TTCATTCATTTTTGAAGAGATCAATTTTTTCACTTCTGTTTGATCAATCGGATTAATTACAGAATTATGTTCACATAACACTTGATGAGGGCGCTGTAATTGCAACATCAAAATTTGAAGGCACAGAAAAAAGGATAATACGAATTGCAAGCAAATATCAGTCAGGTAGATTTGACGATGACCGTTGGCATACAGTAACTGTTGTCAGAACTATTACTTTAGTATGTTTTATTTGCTCTTTATAGTTTACTTACTTGCTCTTAAATAGAACTAGCATTGTGCTTTGTCTTCTGATTCGAATATTTGAATTAAAATTTTCAATTTGTTTTACACTTTAGATTTCTAATCTTTTTGATACATACATTTTGAATTTAAAAAAATATTAAATTATAAAAAATTATGTTTTGTGTGTAAAAAACAGACATTTTATCGTGACCACCTCAGTTTACTTTTAAAATGATATTTATTAATGTATTTTGAAAAACTTTCCAATTTTAAACGTATTACGCTTCATCTTTTTACACTTAAAAAAATTACGTGTATTTTTTTTAGAAAAAAATTAATTCTAATAATTGCAGTAAAAAGTTTTGACATTCCATCCGTACTTACTTGATTTTGACTAAATTTTTTCTCAAAAGCTACTGATTTTTGAGTAGTTTAATTCAAATAACAAACTTTGCTAGTACTAACTTCACTACTTCAGAGAACAACATCCGTTGCTTCAGTACATGTAAGTGACTCGACGAAAACTCCCAAAAATCATGCTTTTTTTTCATTTTATATTTGCGCGGGAACATATTTTCCTTGCCAAGTTTGTCTTTGGAATGTCAGCATGGCTTTGTTAGCTAAATTTTTGTTGACACTTATTTTTATTTTCTCAAAATTATTTTTATATGCATTTTAGTACTTTCCAGTTTTTCTCCCGCCAAAACGTTCAAATTTTCATTTGTTTCTCACTTTTTCTACAATAACACTTTATGCAACGTTGCTAAGCTGTTTCATTACTACGCTAATCTTAATTCATCCCATTTATTTATGCTAATTTAACCTATTTATTTGCTGTTGCATATTCAATTTGAATAAAAAACTAAAATCTTTTTAAGTAATTTTAAAAAAAACCCTGAAAATTGACCTTTTTTAAAACATTATGGTATGCGAGATTGTCAAGCTTCTTCACGGCTACACGCAAAAATAATTGATTTCAAAGACTTTTTTTGCATTTTTCGTGATGAATAAAAAAAATTAATCTTACTGAGATAAATTTTTGCTGGCACTACCCTTTATAATGTCTAAAAATATTCTTGGATAATTTATTTGCATAAAAAGTTTAGCTTTTTTTTTGCAGTAAACTTAATATTTAATTACTCTAAACTAAACATGAAACTATTATTTTGATTTTGTAACTGTTTTGCTTAATTCAAATTTGATAGCTTTACTTATCACTTAGTGATTATACTCAATATTCTTCTCAACTCTTATTTTCCTCAAACATTGATAGCTTAGATTTTTGCGGAAAGTTGAGATATCGCTGGTAATTGAAAATTTTTCAAGCATAAAAATTGCTTATATGAACGAAATATTCTTGCATAGACTGCTTTTGCTCAAATATTATACATAAAAATTTGATTGCAATAAGTTTCTGACGTGAAGTCACACTTTCTTTACATTTAGTATATTTATTCTTCTTCTTCCTGTTATTGTTTTTGATGGATTTGCTTGTTTTTGCTTATTTTTGACTTTTGCGCCAAGTTTGATGCGAAAATTTGAATGTGTGAGAAAAGCGTTTTAATATATGCCTTTATGCATTATTACCAGATCTTTTGCCTTTTGCCATAGAACTTTTTGCTATTGTTTGGTTAAAATTAGCGAAGATATGCCGGGATTTTGTCGCAGATTTGTTTATATCTCAAAGTATTCTCATTAGCGTGTAATGAGCAAGAAATTAGATATTTTATTTACTTTTTGATTTTCAAAATTTCATTTTTTTTTTTGTAAAAATTGATGAACTCGGATGATATTTGATATTTTTAATATTTTCTGACTTCCAAATCCGGCAAAATCCTCCGGTCTTTAAAGCTATTGTGCTCAAAAATTCTGGCGGATATTAACTTGTAGATGACATTGAGTGTTGATGGAATAAACGATGAAATCCGACAATATGCACCAGAAATAGACTGGCTGGTAAATTCGTTTTCTTACTTTGGTGGCATCGCGAAAGAAAAGCTTGTTCCTGGCATTAAGGTTAAAAACTTCCGCGGATGTCTAAAAAATGTAACTTTTTCAAATTTTATTTATTTAGCAAAATTTACTATTTCAGAGATGACTACTGACGGATCAATTTTTGCAAAATCAGTTTTCAAATTGGAATTTGTTTTAAGTTTTCTCATCATTACAATTTTAACGTTTGATAATTTGTAGTGTACAATTACATTTGACGGAAATTTTTCTTTCTGATTTCTCAGATAAGATATGAAGCTGATGCTTATCTGATCAACTTCATAACTCTGGCTAATCAAGCATATGGGAAATCAGTAATACGATCAGCTGGAGACCTATCTCTGTCTTGTCGAAAAGTAGCAGTATCAGAAGATACATTGTCATTTAATAGTGGCAAACATTTTATTACATTACCGAAATGGAATTCAATGGCAAGTGGTAGTTTAAGTAAGTGATTCTTACATTGCAACGGATCATTCACAACTAATCTATCGCTTAAGCACTTGTTGTTTATCACTGATAATGACTGAATACTTTTTGAATTTGGGTTTCGAGGGATAGTTTGCTTTGACCTCATCAAACTCAAGTTTTCTGCGTTATTTTTTGATCACGAAGTGGTATTAAAATTTATGAAACAACGTAAATCACAACTATGGACGTTAGCACTGTAAAATTATGGCATTAATTGATGAGTTATGCAAAATGTAATTTGGCGTAGCTTATCAGATATTTTGATGTGGATAAGAAGGGATATTCAAGCAATTAGTCAGAATACTTGCGTGTTTAGAGTCAGAATATACGCATACTGTTTGTTTTGAGATCTCATATAGAAGACTTCATCGTTGACTATCCATTAGATAAGTGAAACAGACGAACGTGATGTAAATATTTTTTCAAAATTTGATTTATCCACGTGTAAATTAATAGTTCACTTTAGGTTCTTGAAAAGTTATCCTTTTGATACAACTTTTATTCTTTTTATGTAGTTTTTTCAGATGATATGCTAATTTCAGGCTTCCAGTTACGAACTCAGGAGCGTGACGGACTTATACTTTTTCATGGTTCATTTCCAAGTGCAGTTACCGGTCATGATTATATTGCTTTTGAATTGATTGATGGGCATCTTTTTATGATTATCAATTTGGGGTCAGGCCATATAAGACTACAGGTTATAGGACATTTTTAAAATCTGACCAAATGAAAATAATTTTTTCCACGTTATCATTAAAAGTGAAAGTTGGTGCGACTTTCAACACAGTAATGTTTGAATCATTTAAATTTGAGGGGAAAAAAAGTGAAGTTTTGACAAGAAGTGAAGATATATTTGTTTTTGCAGACAACAGCGGAAAAAATAACTGATGGCAGTGCGTGGCACACTGTAACACTTGAACGTGTGGGTCGAACGGGTACTGTAACTGTGGATAACATCAAAACCGATTTTTCAACACCTGGTGTATCTGCTAATTTTATCGTTGGTAATAAATATTTAAATCAAAATTAAGTACTACTATTGCGAATAGTTTTCAAGCAAATTGATAGTTATTGTGGAGAAAAAAATACTTAAAGTAACTAAAACTTACAGTAATTTCATAGAATTTGATTCTTGAAGCATTCAAATCAGTCTATTTTCAGTGCACGTAATGATTGATGACAATGTTATCAAGCAGAATACATTCAGATTTTTACTAATCTCTTACCTTTGCAAGAATTCTATTTCATAGTTTAGTAGTCAAAATTTTTTGCTGATTTCAGAAGAACCGATTTATCTAGGAGCAGTGCCGTGGCCAGCAAATGAAACACATAGCGTAGATTTTTACGTACCTCATTCGATATGGTCAGCAAATTTACGCAAAGGTTTTGTAGGTTGTTTAAAGAATATCCGAATCAACGGAATCAGCCCAAATACTGCAATTATATTTCAAGAACAGCAAAAGAGTCTTGAAAATGGTAAGTTGGCATGACAGTTTAAGATTGTAAATAAATTTATAACAAGATGATGTCACGTCAAATAGATAAAATATTAAAACGGTCAAAATATGTAAAATATATGTAAATGGTCAAAGTACTCAATACCAAAGGTAATTATTTTCTTTACAGCAATTCATTCTGTTGTGGCATGTGTGATCTACAGATTCTCATGCTGACGTATTTCACGTTCTCTTACTTCCTAGTTTTTCTTCAATCTCAGATTTAGTATCTCTGTCTTTCCAAAAACATCAAACCTTTTTTGCATGCTGCAAGCCTTACAGTTTATTTTAAAATCTAATAAATATAACCTAAAACAAATAGAATCTAATGAATATAACTTAGAAGAAATATTTAACCAAGAGTTGAAAATTAAAAATAAGTTAAGTATTCCATCTATTTTCCATATATATTTCACATATTACATATTAAGCAATTTTGGATCACAATACAGTTTCCACTTTATCCTGTATTTATGAACTCGTATGCAGATTTTGTCGCAAATATGAGGAATATTTTCTCAAACTAGCATTAATTTTCATGTATAAGAATTTATACTTAATTTGAATAATAAGCATTAAATAATTTTCTTTCGTATTATCATTATTTTTGCTCATAGTAATTAACAATATCCGTTTTTGCCAGTTAAATGTGTGAAGATTTTCATTTTCTCCACAGCAAATGATCTGAATATTTATGCTCCAAAACTTTTGGTCAATGAATACTAAAACGATGTACAAATTAAACATAAAACAACTATTTGACTACTATTATTATGATTTTTCTTGACTAGTAAACTTAATTGTTCCTTCGAGATTTGTCTAATTTTCATTCGTTCCACCCATCAATCTAGAAGGTTGATCTGAAAAAGCTTTCTGTATTACATGCTGCTTCTCACACCTCTTACTATTCCAGGCTTACTTCTAATAATCTATGAAATTAATCATGCAAAATCTAAGAACTAACAAAGTAGATCACTTTGTTTTTCAAAATTTTTAAAAGCTTTCGCAGTTGTTTAAAATGATATTTGACACTATTAATAGCCTCTATTCGTAGCAAAACGTTACTTTAAAAAATGCTTTGTAAAATTTGCATTAAAACATAAAACGACGAGTAATTAATGTAATAGATTGAAAGATATTTGCAGACAAGCAATTTCATACGCATTCTATCTTTACTAAGTAAATTATTAGCTAAAATATATGTAAGTAGTATAGCTGAAAGAATCGGAATTCAAAATATTTGTACGAATTTGTAAAGTAACAAATTTGTATTACTAATTAATATAAACATCAAACACTCGAAAATAACACATTTTAATTACTTGGCTTTTGATAACTGTTTCAACCCATACTGGATCTTAAGCTACTTTTGTAATTAATAATGAGCAGGATTTTATCCATTAATTCCAAAATAAAACTTATTAGTGATAATAATATTTACAGAGAGAGATGAACAGAGATTAAAGTCTTTATTTTTCAGTTGAGTGGTAAAAAATAGCTCTTCCGCTGTTAGTAAACAGTTATCAATAATTTTATGATATGATAAATTTGATTAGTTTTTGACTGACTTTGAAATAATCTCTAAATCTATCATTAATAATAGTCATTTCAAGCTTTTTTCAGCCATTCCAAGTTCGAGACTTGATTAATCTCTTTTTATTTATGGCATATCATTTGCTATTCACAAGTTTTTCATATTTCAACTGGGATTAGCAACCTTTAAATTTATGCAAATGAGTTGAATTCAGTTCTACTCATATGATATCAAGAATATTTAGCATTTATTAGTAGATTTTGTGGTAAATATCTACAATTAAAATTGTTTTTATTCAAAAAAATTAAATTGAATATTATAAAAATAAAATTTTAATCACACTTATGACAGAATATTTAGAAGTCACGTCATTAGAGTAATGAACTACTTTGTATAAAAGAAGAAATGAGTAAGTTATTTATAGAATCTAATTTTATTTATTAGCAAAGACTAACTCAAATTTTTTTCATTTCACTCAAAGTCAAAAAATCTTAATTATAAATTGATAATTTGAACTGCTTGCAATAGGCATCACTCAAAATTGTCCGAAAAAAATTAGCGAAGATTTCTGCGCTTCATTGCCATGCAAGAATTTCGGACGATGTGAAAATGGTTACATCAGTTATCGTTGTGATTGCTCCGTTTCAACAATGGAAGGATCAGACTGTGATGAAGGTGTTACGCAGTTATTTTCTGTGTTTAAACTGGCTTTTGAATTTTTTACAAATCAGAATTATCACAATTACATTTGATTCTTTCACATCTTGATGTTAAAACTTGCATACAAATAAATTTCAAATTATGAAAATATTACTAAAAGTGATAAAAAATAATGAAATTTGCGCAATACTTAAAATTAATAGAGAAGTCAGAAGTCAAATTGCGCTACTAGATAGACATTTCAGAGCCAGAATTCATAGATTTCTCCTTGGGTGATGTTTCCTCGTTGCTGCTTCCGAATCCTATTGAAAGTGAAGCAGAAACAATCGAGTGCAAATTTCAGTGTAAAGATGAAAGAAGTATTTTGTTTGATACAAGATCCGAGAAATCAACAAAACATCGCATTTTGATTCTGCTGATCAAGGGAGAACTTGAATTGCATTTCAGTTTCGAAGATTCATATCATGTAATTTTATACTTTAGTTCAATTTTGTTAAAAATTTGTAAAATTAGAAAGTACAAATTGACAGCCAGAAGCTGTGGCAAATTTGAACTTTTCAATAAAATTGCTAAAATTAACTAAACTTGCAAATATTTGAGTAGTGATCGAAAATTAAATAATTAAAAATAAAATTGATAGTAAATTTTTACTGAAAATTAAAACTGCAAAAAAAGTATACATGACCAAGCATACAATATTGAAAAAAATTTAAAAATATCAAAATGCAGAAAGTATACTAAGTAAATGATATACTTAGTAAATAATACAATTACGAGTTGATATTCCAATCTATGCGTAAAAAAATTTCATTTTATCAGTACTTCATCAGTCACTGTCAAAAAATGAATTCCAAGTAATAAGCAGTTGAATAGAACGTGAAGGTCAGTAAGCAACAGAAAAAAAATTAATATTGCAAAAGTTAAGTTTTGATAGATATTTTTAGTCCCAAAATGATGCATTATTCACGAATTACTGCAAGAGTGATGACTTTTATGCTATACTTTTAAGCTTCTTCTTAAATTTTACTCTCATATTTTTATCACAAGTATAGTCAGTTTTTACAGAGTTCTTA